AATTGTTGGTCAAACCCGCCAACCTGCTTTGGCCAAGATAACTGTCATCTCGAGCAAAGAGTTCAAAAAGTGTTGGTCAAACCTGCCAACCTTCTTTGGTCGAGATAACTGACATCTTGGGCTAAGAGTTCAAAAAGTATTGGTCAAACCTACAAACCTTCTCTAGCCGAGATAACCATCTCGGTCAAAAAATTCCAAAGAAGTTGGTGAAACCTACCAACCTTCTTTGGCCGAGATAACCATCTCGGTCAAAGAGTTCAAAAAAGGAGTTAGTTAAACCTGTCTACCCACTTTGCCCCCAGTCGTGCAAAGATTTTTGTTTACAAACAGGCCGAAATAAATACAAGTATTGAAAAAAAATTAGGAAAAAACTGCCTACTTGTCTTTTTAAATACCAAACAAAAAGTTAAAAAAATACAAGTACAAAATGCTAAATATAGAATGTCTTGAGATTGGTCGTGTTCCATGGCCTTGGGATAACTTGGCCTTCTTTGTCTTTTAAGTGGTAAGCTCATTTTCCTGCTAGCCCTATAACTTTGTACAACCCCTCCCAGTTGGGTCTTAATTTGTCATCACCAGGCACCAACATGTTTCACATTACTTTATGCAGCACCCAATCTCCAATCTTGAATTGCCTTGGGTATACCACTTTGTTGTATTTTCTAGACAGTTCTTGCTTATACAAAGCGATGTGGATCAGCACCCTTTCTCTTCATTCTTCGACTAGTTCTAGCTCTAAGGCTATTGCTTCTCCATTCAAATCTGGATTAAAATTTTTGCTTTTGATAGTGGGGAGGCCGACTTCTAGAGGGATTACTATTTTCATGTCGTAGGCCAAGGCAAAGGGCATTTCGCCGATTGATCGCTTAGGCGTAGTTTGATAAGCCCACAAGACATGGCGAAGTTCCTGAACCCACTTTCCTTTCGTTTTTTCTAACCTCTTTTTCAGACCATCTAAGATCACTTTGAAGGACGCCTTGGCCAGGCTGTTGGCTTGGGGGTACGCCAGCGTGGAGTTATAGAATTCTATCTTGTGCTCTTCGCAAAAAACCCTTGAAGATTCTACCATCAAATTAGGTGTCGTTGCCAGATATCAAGGCCTTAAGGATTCTAAATCGGATTATGATATTCTGCCAAACAAACTTCTTGATGTCTTTTTGTTTGATGGATGTAAATGCCTCTGCCTCCACCCATTTTGTGAAGTAGTCTATTGCTACAATGAGAACTTTCTATTGCCGGGCACGGTTGGGAGTGATCTCATTATGTCTAAGCCCCACATTGCAAAAGGCCAAAGACTAGTCAGGGATAGAAGCTCTCTGGCTGGCTGATGGATTTGATGCGCAAACTTCTGGCATTTTTTACATTTCTTGACATACTTTTTTACGTTTGCTTGCATATAAGGGCACCAATACCCTTATGAGATAGCTCGGTAGACCAAAGATCTCCCCCCTTTAGTGGTTTCGACAAATACCCTCGTGAATTTCGAATAAGAATGCCTCGACCTTGCTAGGATGGACACACTTTAAGTATGGTCCGGTGAAGGACTTTTTGTACAGCGCTAGAGATGGAGAAAGCCAAAATCATTGTAACTTTGCTCGAATCTTGTTGGTCTCCTTCTTGTCTTCTGGTAAAATCTTATCTTTCAAGAACGTGATGATGGGGTCCATTCAGGAGGGACCTAGCTCGGCGTAGAATACCTCGACCACTTTAAGTTCCTCGATGCTCGGTCTTGGCAGGAAGTCAACTAGAAAAGGGTGCGGAATAGAAGTGTCTACCATCGATGCAAAACTAGCCAGTTCATCTGCCTTGCTATTTTCCTCTTGGCCGGTTTGTTCTATCCTCACGACTTTGAATTTTATGATTTCGTTTCTGACCAGCTCTTGATACTTGGCCATTTTGTCATCCTTCGCTTCATAGTCGCCAGATATTTGGTTGACTACCAATTGGGAGTCGTTGTACACCATTAGCTTGGTGGCCTTCATCCGGTGGGCTAACTTCAAACCAACTAGCAGTGCTTCATATTCCGCTTCGTTATTGGATGCTGGAAATCAAAGTGTGACTATTTGTTCAATGGTTAGGTCATCTGCTGAGATGAGGACCATCCCTAGTCCAGCCCTATGTCTATTGGAAGTATCATCCACAAAGAGCTTTCACATCTCCCCCACGAATAACTTCCAGCAAGTGGATAGGTCCGAAGATGTTTTAGGGTCTGGGATTTCAATTATTTCTTCCAAGTCTTTGTGCGCTAACTGAGCGATATTTTCTTTGCTCGGTTGCCCTACCATTTCCCTTTCAGGCACGTCATTGTAAATTGTGCTTATAGTGGCGCGGTTTGCTGCTTCTCCCTTTGGCAATGCGCTGTTGGCTTTGGCGAAAGGTGTGGCCACTATTAGGCTTACCTTGCACGGTTGATTAGCTTGCTGCGAGGGTTACGCTATTCCCATGGCTCTTCCCCCCCCCCCTTTGTTCAGTCTCCACGGTCAAGTCCACCGAGCAAATAAAATGACTTCCTAAAGCAAATTCTGTCACAAAATCTGCCAAAACTTGGGTCTTTATCGTCGTTCTAGGTTTGAACTTGATGTCAAACAGTCCCAACTCCACTGCCCTCTTCAATATTCGTCCGGAGAAGTCCGCCCTTTCAAACAAGGCCTTTAGAGGAAATGTCGTCAGACGGCGCCAATTGTACGAGCATGAAATAATCCTCCTCGTATAATCATGTTGATCAAGTGTGCACTCCTTCAAACGTCGTCGTCTTATCACCTGAGAACACAAATATGAGCTAGCCGGTGGGTGTGTGCCAGAAACCCCTCCAATACCTAAGTTAGCAAATAGACAATAGACAAAAAAGCTCTGCATATTCAAGAGTCAGAATTGCAATACCTGGGAATATGTTATGTCTTGAGCTTTTATAGATTCCGCGTGACACAATCTTAGTAAGACTCTACCTCTCCTTATCAGAATCCTCCTAGGAGTCACATTATTAAAGGATAATGCTTATCCTTAGAACACTCTCCTTACTAAACGCCACGTGATATGGCAACAACACTATGTTCGACTGTAAATATCCAACCAAACTACATTATGCCGGTCTGCCATTGACCAAACTACACAATCCTTGACCATCAGATGGATTACGTCGAGCTAATGTTAGCTCGGCCTTCTTCATACGGCCACCTTCTATTAGTTAGGCCTAACTCACTAACCGGCCTATCATCCAATCAGCCCAAGACAGAGCTACCTGAGCTCTTTTCTCAGCCCACTGCTACCTAGTTCGGCCCAATTTCTTAACATAAATTACCCTAGCCATACTTTTAATTTAGTTCAACTTGAGTAGTTGCTAAAATATCAAATAAAAAGAAAGATTGTCACGTGTATCAACTTTTAGGAAAGACATAATTAATCGACTGTATTGATCACGGTAAAAGAATTGAAAGAACCTCAAGAAACATGAGTCATATATTCTGCAAAACATCATTCTTGCAAAGGTGGTCTTTTTTCAGGCCCATCCCATTTGGATCCTTCAGAAGTTCTAACAATGCAAATCACAAAAATGCATAGTTTTACCTCCAAAAATGACTTTTCCAATCAGGGAATGCATTTACTAAATCGTTAGGCCTTTTAGCAGATCCCATTGTCAGCCCCAAGAGGATACATTACAAATGTTTGTCACCTGTTATAGATTGGTAAGAATGATTATTATTTATTCTTCTTAATATATCTCATTAAGTTGGGATTTATGTGAATAGTTTAGGATTCTAAAAAAAGAAAAGGGGTGACTGTTATGTTAGAAGCATAATAGTTACTATTGTGCTTCCAATGGGGTCCATTTTGGATCTCATTTCAATAATTCAAATCAGTCACTTTTAGGATACATTGAGTATAATATACTTGTAAAATATTAAGTTGATCGGATATTGATAGCGCTTTCATCAAATAATATTTTGTATTAAGTTTTACACTTAAAATCATATTTACTATTCATTTTTTTAGATATAAATGTGATTTGATAAAAAGACAACTAATATACGATTAATTTAATATTTTATAAGTATATTTTATTTAATATATCCTAAAAAATAAATAATTTGGATTATCGAAATAGAACTTAGAATAGACCCCATCAAAGGCACAACAATGATAGTCACCGCAGACAGTCGCAGTTGCCAAGCATGGTGGCCATTGCGGTTCTGATCGCTGACGACAGTGGCAATCGCCGAGGATAGTGAGTCTTCCTGCTCCATCATTCAAATCATTCATCTTTTCTTTCTCTCTTTGATTTTTTCTCTCTTTCTACCTCTTCGTTAGGTACAAGCACACGCATTTTATTTTTTATTTTCCTAATCCACAAAGCAGTCCTTTTGTGAACTTGAAGAAACTTTAAACTTCAGATGATCCAAACGCCATATTGGGGGTGAGATGAATTTTTGATTTACAAGTTTTGCTAGAAATTTCCTTTCTTGAACCATCGGATATTTGACTAGAGCCCAAGTTAGAGACTTAGTGGCCAAACCTAATGCTTTAGGTCATCCTTTATGTCTATCAAAACCCACAAAGCAACACTTAAAAAAGCAGCAGCCACCTCCTCACCTATCTATATGGTGATCTTCAAGGATCAAAGCTTGTTATGCTCAAATGGAGCTTGAATTCCCTGAAAGACAATTAAGAAGGACCACCTTATGCACGAGTATGTGTTGACATTTGAAAAATATGACTCATTTGGTTGTGCAACAGTGCAAGTGATGTAAATAAATATCTTAAAAATTTATAGAACAGTTGAACCCGTAGAAATCAAGAGGTCCAGTTAGGGATAAAAAAATAATGTTCGAGATAAGCTCAGAGTCCTTTCAAATTTGATAGTTTGACTAGAAACGCCTTTTCAAAGAAACTGTTCTAATTAGTGAAACTGTAAACAAAAACTGTACTAATCGGTTTGACAAACTCCAAAGTTAAAAAAAATAAATAAATAAAATAAAATTTCTCTAAATCAACATAACAAAATCGAACAAGAAACTGGACCCAGCTCGAATGAAAGGATTTTCAAGTAAAATACCGGGAAAAGGCATCCCAGCCTCAGAAGAAAAATATTGCAGGCACTTCTGTAAAGGTGTACTATGTCTGTACAAAATACACATTTTAAAAATTAAAATAAAAATAAAAACAAAACAAAATAATATCACACAGCCAAGACTTAGATTTCCAGACGAGATATATGACAGATGATATAGATGATGCTCGGGTTACAAATAGCATGGACAAAAGATGGATGCAAGTCCTCTTTACTCACTCTAACATTATCAATAGCCCCGTAACTGAGCTTCTCGACTTGTAAGCGGAACATAGCGAACAGAAGTCTCATCTCGAACACTGATAGAACCATCTGGATTCTTGTCAACAACCTTCAAGTCCTGGAAAATGTTCCCAACAGGAATCACCATCCTGCCCCCGGGCTTCAACTGCTCAATTAGTGCTGGAGGGATTTCCGGTGCTGCTGCTCCAACATGAATGGCATCATAAGGTGCAAACTCTTGCCAGCCTAACCTTCCATCTGCCACCACCATCCAAATTATTTAATTTACTACATAAAGCCAGTGGCCAGAATTTAAAGTAAAATGATTATTCTAACAAATTCAACTCAACCCATAAGTAATCAAAGTACATCAATCAGCTGCACTACCCAGGGTCATCCATCAATATTATATTTCATATTGCCACTCAGATGATATCATTCAATAGCAGGGTGTCGTTTGCTTTCTTCCTGGGGTCCCACAACCAGGGCATTTCATGCCAACAATCCGCATGGAGCAGAAATTCAGAAATGAAACATAAATAATGAAGAGAGAGTGTGTAAAAACACATTTGAACCTAAACCTTCTACAATTACTATAAGAGCAACCAGCTGGATTTTAGCCCAAGAAAGGACTATAAACCTAACCTGAAGTGTTTGGTCTTGAATCATTTTTCAAAGCAAAATCACTCCTAAAACAATATACAAGACCAACTCTTGTTTTTCATTTCAAGCAAACTGGTCATTTTAACTATCTTACCATGAAATGACTAGCCATGAGACTGACTCTTCTTGTTGTTGTTGCTGTAAGATTATAGCAGTCTACAAATTGAAATGCACAAAACCGCAAATTTTGCTATCCAAACATTTTTTTGCTAATTTTTTCCTCAATGTTTTTCCACATTAGAAAAAAAACATTAAATACAAATAGATTAGAATCTGAAAAAAGTGGAGTTTTGGCAAGAAAATATAAACAAGCAGCCATAATGCATCAATAACTCAACTTATAAAAGATGTAGTCTGATCCTTTCCCCACCACCCACACTCATAACATTTAGAAGTACCTTAATAAATTCACTAATATGGTCTGTATTAGAGTACCCCCATTATACCACACTCAAAAGAGCATGTGGTATTCAAAGTTTTCATTCAGCATATTTGACAATCCATGTTGGGGGTAACATATTTGAACCTAACAAAAAGTTTTCGTTCAGCATATTTTGATAGTCCATGTTTGAGGCAATATATTTGAACCTAGGAAAATTCTATTGCCACAGACCAATTCTTCTTTGTGAACATCTTTTCTCAAGCTACACAGTTAATAAATTTGAAATATTATATTTTACTCAGTACACAACCTATCATACCAAAAATACCCTAATCTTCTTTAACTTTCAAACCTTTATCCTAACCCTAACCTTAACCACCACCTGCCTCCACCCCGACCTCTATCGCTGCCACGAACCACCGTTACCACCGCGAGCCTTCTTTCGTGAACCCCCCACCATTCTGAACCACCTCCACCATGAAATTCCCTCCATTGTAGCCCCTCAAAACCTCCATTGACAGGAACCCCTTATCTACAAACCAGCCTCCATCACAAATTGTCGTCACAAACCTCCCATCCACGAACCACCTTCCATCCCAAACCCTTCTTGAAATCCCCCACCAATTCCTCTCCCTCTCGATATGGTTCCCTTCTCTCTATATCTTTAATCGTATCTGTCATCGACGAACATGAGAGATTGGGATTGTTGTGAATGGTGGAGGGGCTGAAGCGGTTGGTGAAGATGTGGGAAGGGATGATGACAGAAGGCGAGGGTGGGAGAATGGTTGGGGCGGTCGTGGAAGAAGGCCAACAATGACAGCGACGGCAACGGCCAAAGGTTAAGGGATTATGGTTTTGGAATAGAAAACAAGGGTATTTTGGTGGGTTCTATTTTAGGACAAAACTATAATAAAAGAAAAATTCATTACGTATATAGAGAGGAAGTAGTGTGTGAAAATAGAAGCTTCATTGAACCTAACATGTAAAATTACTGAAATTACCCTAAACCAAAATTTATGATGTGTGTAGTTGTTAAGCAAACAACTTCCCCTTCTTGTTGGCAGTGGCACCATCGGATGCCGATCAATTTGCAACATAGAGATTTCCCACACATAACCCAGCCTAAAAAGTCCGCCAAGTGAAATGTCACTTACGTAGCATCTATGAAGCAAGGGTACGGGTACAAATACTGGTACTAGTACTGGTACGAGGATACGTCGATTCAATAAAATTAAAAAAAAAAAATAGAGTACGAGGTACAGCTTGGGCTTGATACACTTGTAAAAAAATATTTATTTTTAATTTAGAGTAATGCAAAAACTAATTAAATGGTTGAATTTGTTAAAGTAGCCGGCCCCATTTGATGAGACTTAAGCGTTGGCTTGGTTTGGTTTTGTTTAATTTGTTAAAGTCCAACCTACAATTAACATTTAATGCTAAAAGTAAATATATAAATCAAAATTAAATGTCAATATTTTAAATAACTTACAAATCATAAGTCAATTTTAAAATCATGCTAAGCATTTAAAATAAAATAAAAAAAGAAAAAAGAAAAAAGAGAAGAGTTTAGTGAAAGAAGTTTTATCTCTGTAGTAGAAGAAAATATTATTTTAATTGAGGTACAGTAAAGCTTGGATATATACTAAGTACGTCTAGGTACATCAAAAATTAAGAAGAAAAAAATTTGGGTATGTGTTTCGAGTAACCGGTACGTATGCAGAAGTACCATACAAGATACCGTACGCCGGTAAGTACCCGGTACAAGTACGGCACGTTTTTCGAAGTACCCATGCTTCATAGCGTAGCATTCTAATCACTTACCTAGGAGGGTAAAACCCATACTTTGCCAAACAACATAAAAATGTAATTCTTAAAAAGACAATAACCAACCAAAAGAAAAGGTAGGAGAGGCTGAAGCATCTGTGAAACATACCCCCAACATGCACCGAGAGAGAACCTTCTTTGAGTGATGGAGCAGCTGCACTTTTCTTGATATTCTGAATTGAAGAATCCACCAACTCAGGAATATGTTCTACACCAACTGCACGACCTTCTGGCCCAACCATCAAAGCAAAGCATGCTGTCAAATATCCAGTTCCTACAAAAGAATGGCCATAAGGAAATTGCAAAATAAGAACCACAAAATTCACAGAACCAAATTGAAATACAGATGGACATACTGGTACACAGAACCTGTTTAACCAATCTAAAGGAATCTTTAGCAATTTCGAATGAACTATAGATGGATATACTGGTCCACAGTTTCAAACCAAAAGGTAAACGACTGACTTGATTGACAAACTGTCGCATCCCATCCATTGGAGATTTTAGGGCCCCCTACCCTCTTTATCATTATTAGGTTTTTTGTAGTAATCATTATTATTGTTATTATTATTATTACTATTTTGATAGATAAAATAGGCATACAAAGAAACATATGCAGAACTTGTGGAATTACAAAAGAGATGAACAAATTTCTAAACAGTGTAAACAGAGGAACCAATATTCAGACAGGATGAGTTTGGTCTGGCTGAATCTATATTGAACTCAAGTCAGATCCAAGCTTAACTAACCTGTTCAGGCTTAGTTCATATACGATTGATAAAACTCTACTGCCTAATTAAATATTCTACTCAAGGCATTTGTTCTATGACGAATATTAAATAATCCAAATGGTTCTAGATTAATATAAGACCTTAAATCCAAAATTTTGAAGTTTCAAGAATCAAGTCATTAATCAATAATTCAATGACATGGTTACAAATGAACAGAATAATAAAAAAAATACCTGAACCAACATCTAAAGCATGCATGCCAGGCTTCAAATTGTCCTCCAACAATTGAAGACATGTTGCATGCATATGTGGAGCAGAAATTGTGGCATTGTACCCTATTTGCATAGGGCTGTCAACATAAGGTGGGGTCCCATCAGGTACAAACAAAGCCCTATCTATAGTTTCCATCACTTCTGCTACCTTCTTCGATTTTATCACTCCATATTGCTGCAAATGCTCAACCATTGCCTTGTTCTTATTGATACCACTTCCAGTCCAAAATCTCTTTCAGCAAAAAAAAAAATAGTCTCAGTACAATGCTTTATGTATTCTTGAACTAAAACACTGTGTATTGAGTTCATCACTTGATCTGTTACAAGGTGAATGGAAAACCAGATAGCAAAAAGAACTCAAAAAAATGAGATAGCCAGGTGTGCAATAGAAAGATAGAAATTTCTAAGTCAGCCCAATAATGATTTTACCCAAGTAGATCAATGAATTTTCCATTTAAAAATAGGGCCAGCCCTAGGCAAAAGTGAGAAAGGACGGCGCCTAGGTCCCCAAAAATGTCTCTCGTACTAAATCCAAAAAAGAATTTCCTTACTTATTAGGCCTTAAATAAAATAGTAATACCAAGAACACTAACAAATATAGCAACAAACATACCAACTAATTCACAAGACTCCTATGTAGGTTATACCACTTGATATGGGATTCAACTTGTATCTAATTGGTATGTTTATTGGTACGTTTGTTAGTGCCCATTTCATTATTAGAAATTTAAAAATGGTTCAATCCAAAGCAAAGGGCCATCAAAATAAAATTCAATGGTTTTGTATTAACATAATTTCTTTTGTGCCCTAGAGTCTTACTTTTTGCTTTAACTTTTTTCAAATGAATCAAACATATTTGAAACTTGAAAGATCAAGAGGAATATAAAGCAATCAACTTCTCACTCTTGTCCCTCTCCCTTGCTATTACTCCGATTTTGTTCACACATTATGAAGTGTGTGAACAAAACACAAATTTTAATTGGTTTAAAATAATGGACTCCACAAAATTTAAGTGGGATTAATACACTTTTTGAACGTAGAGCCTATAATTTTGAACCAATCGAATTTTGTGTTTTGTTCACACACTCCCAAGGTATGTGAACAAATTCATTTTCCCCTTGCTATAATTTAGAATGCCTTTAGTTTTATAATTCAATAAAATTAAAATACTTTCTAATTTATGTTTAATTTTTGTTAGATAGGATTAAATTTATGTTGCGTAAATCAATACTTATGTATTAATATGTCTCAGTAATTTTTCTTGGATCAGATTGTCACCAACCAACAGTTCATTAATTCCTATAGGTTGAATATTTTGTTGGATTGTTGATTGAAATTTGGTTGATTATACTTATCTTTGTTCAAAACAATTTGTTCAATTTCTATTGAGTACTATAGTTTGAGTATTTTGGTATTTTTTACGTATTGTAAACTATAGCTCGCTATCTATGAAACTAAATTTTAGTATGTAATTTTGGCACTAATAAATTGAAGCAAACTTTTTCTTCTTTTTTTTTTGTGCATGTGAATAACTAAAACGGCCCCATGTTAGGGCTTCACCTAGGGCTGGCCCTGTTGTTAAAGCTAACAGCTAGCTGAGCCCTTTGTGTAGTCCATTAACATTGACCAAAAACTAAGCAAAACAAAAAAAAACTTCAGTTGATTATTAAAAGAAGCAGTTCTCAATTACCCAAATTATTATTCCTAGTAAACCCTTATGCTCTTTGATTAAGACATATTAGATCATTATAATTCTCAAATTTACCCAATTGCCTACCATTCCTCTAGAGTGATTTTTTTTTTTAAAATTTATGGGTGAGTGACTATCAATACTATTGTCCTACTATTGTGTCTTTTAGTGTTTTTTTTTGTAGAATTAAATCTCATCTGCACCAAAAAAAAAAACAAAAAAACCAAAAAAAAAAAAAACAAGCAAACAAACAAAAAAAACTCTAAGATCACTCTATAAAACGCCACTCTAGAATCCCCACTTCCTAAATTAGATCAACACAAAATTCCCACAAATTGAACATCATTTGCAATTTTACAGGACATGAACAAACTTGATCAGCATAGAGACGAAATGGAACGTGAACATACATTCAAATACATAAATACATACATACATAAACATTATATATATATATATATATATATTGTTGAGAGAGAGAGAGAGAGAGAGATCGACCTCCATGCGGCGGCCCAAAGAGTTTCCCGTGACGAGGCTAGGGTTAGGGAGATTACAAGAAGAGAGGGCGGTGGTGACGGCGAGAGGCGGAAGACCTAGACGAAGGAGGCGAGGGTGGTGGTAGCGACGAGTGGTTGTGGGAGTGGGAGTTGTGGTGGTGAAGTGTAAGAGATGATGCTTTAATAAAGGCGCACGGTAGCGGCAACCATACGCTATAACCGAGGACGGCATTCTCATTCTTACCTATATGTCTGCCTTTTCTTTGGCATCGTCTCTCGTCGACACGACACCACTCTCCCTCACACGTACCAATTAATCCCCACACGTGCCACTCAGTCTGCCAGACAATTCTAGGCCCTCTTCAAGATTATATCATTTTTGCTTTCGTGCTCCTCGAACCTACTGATTGTGCTGCTAATCAATTATCATATACTATGTTCCTCGTTATTCTTTAATTATTTAATAAAAAAATTATGAATTTTATCACTTCCATCAATCAAAATATGTTTAAAGTGCTATTTGACCCTCCTCTAAAATCATCAAATAACTCTTTAAGAAAATAACCGAGTGAATAATCAAATACCTAACTAGACTACCACCTCAGAAGAGTGGTCCCACTACTAAACAAGTTTCCTTCTTGCACATGTGTTTGTTTGTGATAATCTAAATAAGTGTATTTTTTATCTTTTTATAAAAAGATGTGCAGAAAAATAGAAAGGTGATGTGATGAAAAAAAAAATAAAAAGATAGATTATTTTGGTGTTGCGAAACTTAGCCTAATTATGCTTTACCTTCTTATGTTTAACAGAAAAATACATTATTAACTCTCTATAGTCTAAAAATATACATATAATTCCCCTTGTAATATATATAAAGTACAAACTTTAACTAAGTTAACAATTTTTTCAAAATGTCTACATTATCCTTATATTTTTGTCTAATTTTCTTTTATACAGGCAAGTCTTTCTCATCCTACCAAATCATTCCCCTCTCGCCTTACCTTACGAACACCACCAGTCACTTCCATGTCTAATAGGCTACCGTCTCTTTCTTTTATTTCACCTTATCGTTTTCACCTTTTTCTCTCTTTCTTTAGCACTTTTGTTTTCTTATTTTTTTTTTATTTTTGTTTATGGAAGAACACATGGCTACCCTGTTGACGCAGCCACACATGGTAATTGCAACACCTCAAACCAAAACCCAATTCCCTCTCGTGCTACACTCATCAAAAACCCATTTAGTCGATCAAATAGAATTTTATAGTAAAAAACATTTTTTTGTTTGTCTTGAACTCTCTCAAGAAAAATTTCTAGATAAATATATAATGTGAGCAATTAATTTGCTGTAAACAACAATACGAAGTTGTGCGGTAAAAATTGTTTCAACCTTCCATGTATGGATCGAATTAGGAAAGAGCTTTCCTTGTGTTGTAAAAACTATTTCAAGTTCTAACCATTCTTTGCATTACAATTTGCGACTTTTATTAAGCAACTCAAACTATATTTCCTTTAATTCCAAGTGAGTCCAATTTGTTTGGCAAATTTGTTTGGAAATTTGTTTTTGTACCTAGGTATGTATATATGCATATATATATATATATATATATATGAAAAATTTCTAGATACATATATAATGTGAGCAATTAATTTGCTGTAAACCACAATACGAAGTTGTACGGTAAAAATTGTTCCAATCTTCCATGTATGGATCGAATTAGGAAGAGCTTTCCTTGTGTTGTAAAAACTATTTCAAGTTCTAACCATTCTTTGCATTACAATTTGCGACTTTTATTAAGCAACTCAAACTATGTTTCCTTTAATTCCAAGTGAGTCCAATCTGTTTGGCAAATTTGTTTGGAAATTTGTTTTTGTACCTAGGTATGTATATATGCATATATATATATATATATTAGGGACCGGGCACACATAATGCATGTGCAAACTTCTTTGGAATTATAATATGAAATTCACATTGTTTTTCTAATAATGTAATATGAATCATATTTATAACTATGTGTAATGTAACATTTGATATTAATATATTTCATAAATAAAATATATATAGTAAAATATGTATTGTACGAGCGCGAAAAAATCTTTCTCGTATAATCTTGTTGATCAAGCTTGTACTCCTTCAAACATTGTCGTCTTGCCACCTGAAAACACAAACATAAGCTAGTCGGTGGGTGTGTGCCGAAAACCCATCCGAAGCCTAAGTGAACAAGTGGACAATAGATACAAAACCTCTGTGAATTCGAGAGTATGAATTGCAATGCTTGAGATTAGGGTTTGGTTTGAGCTTTTGTAGATTCCGTATAGCACAATTCTAATAGAACTCTAACTCTCCTATGTAAAGTCCTTCTAGGAATCATATTCCCAAAGGATAATACTTGTCCTTTAACACCATCCTCACTGCAAGCCAAGTGAGATGGCACAAGTCTTTGTTCAGCTTTCTACCGTGCAACCAGTCAACTTTTACTCTGTCCGCCAATGGCTTAGCCGTGCAATATACAGTGTCATGCAATGTTTGCACAGCGCGCCACTAAGCTGACATTGCGCGGCTCTTCTCCTTGCTCGGCTCTCCTCCTAGCTCGGCTCTCTTCTCTGTTTGACTACCTTGCTTGGTAGCTCGGCCATGGCGTTAACCGCCACTAGGAAGTAGCTAGGTCCAAAAATATGGGCATTTACTAGTTCAGTCAAATATCTTTGACTGCCACTAGGTAGTAGCTAGGTCCAGAAATATGAAAATTTATTAGTTCGGTCAAACATCTTTGACCACCACTCCAACGTAGCTTGGGACAATTGACTACACAAATTACCCTCTCAATTGCCCCTTATTTCCATCTAGAGTGCATGATTGGGCTACTTTGCCCCATCCAACCGGGCTCACTCTTATTCATAGATTTCTTATAGTTGGACAATCTTGCCAACCTACTTTGTCGAGCTAACCAGCTTGGTAAAATTTTTTAAAAGTTGGTCAAACCTGCTAATCTGTTAGCTCGACAAAGATTTTTCAAAGTTGGTCAAACATGTCAACCTACTTTGCCGAGCTAACCAGTTCAGTAAGGATTTTTCAAAGTTACTCAAATCTGCTAACCTACTTTGCCGAGCTAACCAGCTCGGCAAATATTTTCCAAATTTGGTCAAACCTGCCAACCTACTTTGCCGAGCTAACCAGCTCAGCAAAGATTTTTCAAAGTTGGTCAAACTTGTCAATCTACTTTGCTGAGCTAACCAGCTCGGCAAAAAGAGCTAACCAACTCAGTCAAAAAAAATTTCCAAGGTTAGTCAAACCTGCTAACTTACTTTGTCGAGCTAACCAGCTCGGCAAAGATTTTTCAATGTTGGTCAAACCTACCAACTTACTTTCTTGAGCTCACCAGCTCCGCAAAGATTTGCCAAAGTTAGTCAATCCTGCCAACTTACTTTGTCGAGTTACTTAGGTTTTCCAAAGTTAGTCAAACCTGTCAACCTACTTTGCCGAGCTAACCAGCTCGGCAAAGGTTTTCCAAAGTTGGTCAAACCTGCTAACCTACTTTGTCGAGCTAACCAGCTCGACAAAGATTTGCCATAGTTGGTCAAACCTGTCAACCTAGTTTGTCGAGCTAACTAGCTCAGCAAAGATTTTCCAAAGTTTAGACCGAAGTAGTTGCCCATGGGCCATTCTACCGTTGCTCGGTTAGCTTACTTAGGGAATTCCATCCAATATTATAATCACATAGCAAAGTCTGAAAAACTTTGACGTCGAACTAAAAGAAAGAGAAAATTACAAGTGCTAAAAGGCTTAAAAATAAAATAACTTCAGATCGGCCATATTTCACGGTCTTGGCACGGTTCGGCCATTTGTGATTGCCTCCTACTTTCCTCATTGTTTTGTGAAGGTTCGTCACGGGTATTGTAGCTCGATTTGTCTTTCTTGTCGATTGTGTTAACTTTAGCCGTGGCCTTCTTGTCCGACATTGTTGTTGTGCTGGACCTTGCCTTAGCGCAGGTGACATCCTCCTCCACTCTTATGTGCTGATGCACCATTTTCATCAAAGCTTCCATTGAAAGGGATAGAGTCATAGTCACTGAGTCCCTCAATCTACGCCTAACAGGCAAGCTGCGCTTGTACTGGGCAATAGCTAGTTTAGAAGGGCATTCACCAATTTGGTTGAATGTCTCCTAGTACCTATTGTTGTATGACTTCAACATTTCATTCTCGCCCATGTCAATAGCGAGCAATAGGTTTGCCCCTACGAGTGTTTTGGTGTTTGTTTTGAACCTGGTAACAAATGCCTTTATGAGTTGAGCCCAGGAGGTGATGCTGCCTTCTGGAAACCTCTCAAACCACGTCAATCCCAAATCCCCAAGGCTTGACGGAAACAAGATGCACATCAGAGCGTCATCTCTTTTGTAAATAGCCATAACTTGTCAAAAATAGCTAAGATGCATGTAAGGATCTAACTTCCAATTGTAAATCATGAACTTAGACTGGCTAAAACCCCTAGGCAGAGGCGCGTTCTCTATTGCTGGTATGAACGGCGAACTCTGCAACCTACCCAACGCTTTGTCCGCTAGCTTATAAGCAAGATGCAGCATTGGCATTACAACCTCGATTCTTCCATTCGTCTTAGGAGCCAATCGTTGCAAAGCAAATACCCTTTGGGCGTTTTGCGCCTAGGCAACTTCTCTCCTTTGTGCCCTCTCCTCCATAATAGTCCGTAAATCTTCTGGTCTGGCAATTTCGTATATCAAGACGATGTTTGATAAGTGTACGAGGGTCGATAACTGCTATCCTCAATGTAAGATCTTTCAGGCGTCACCTTTTTAGACCTAGAGTGGCGAGTTTTGGAAGTCCTCGAATGGGAGTCGTTATCGTGAAGCTTTTGCTCCCAAAATGTGTTGGTGTGGTATATCCATCTTGATCTCTAGAACGATGAGATCGCATTCTTCCTTTGCAGATCTCCACCCCTATCGCACCTTTACCTATTACTTGGTGCTTCAAAGCCTCCATGTCTGTCGCCATTTTCCTTATCAACTCATCTTGTTCCCTCATGCGATCCTCCAGAACCTGGGTATCTGTTCATCGCCTTTGTCCATCTGGGCTTTGGGAGTGGCGAGGGCTTAAACCCGCTTTTCTCGCATACCCCTGTGAGGGTTCCGTCGCTAAGGGTCCAAATTTTCCATGGGCAGAGCATGAAGCTAATAATCACACCTTATGTTCGCTTCTAGTGTCTACCCATCAATGGTGGAATGTAACAAATCTTCGTTGTGCATCATTAAAGCTTGTTGAAGGAAAACTTGATCAAAAGGTAAATTTTTTGAGATTCCCACAGATGGCGCCAATTGTATGAGCGC